CTGGTCCGGGGAGACAATCAGAGCAGAGGGGGAGGAGAAGGGAAGAAAGGAAAGGAGAATTTTTTAAATTAAATGGCCTGCCCTCTAAAAATAAATCAGCCAAATGAAGAGGATCTTGCAGACCAAGGGTTTAATTTCAATTTCCATGTGTAAATATTTCTTTAAGGTTTTCCATTCATTACCTATATATTGAGGCTCCAGCATCTTTAAACAGAATTTGAAACAAAAATCTTAAAACAGAATTTGAAACAAAATATTGATAGACATTTCAAAGCTTAAATAAAGTCTTTAAATCACAAACAGGAGGAAAGAGCCCCAAGTTATCTCGCAGGAGTGACAGGGACTACCAACATGCCGAGCTTTCGTTCGGTGGGTCAGATTTTTGTTTATTATAATTTGCTTTGGTGAGAGAAGTCATGCAGATTACGACATGTGAACAAGCTAAAAATTGTGGTATTTGAAGCCAATTTGAGTCCACCGCAAACACACATGTAAGTGAACGAAGCATGATGCTAATACCAGATAACTGAGATATCAAAGGAATTAACAAAAAAAAAGTATGGGTATCTTCAACATGGTCAGAAGAAGATCAAGCAAATTAAACCAGTGGGGTTGGGGGACAGAAGAGGCTTTAAAAATGCAAAATGACTAATCAAAAAGACAATGACTTTATAAGAACTATACTCGAATAACTTGTCAAAGACTAGTCTTAGAAGACAAAGGTTCTTTTTTTTTATTATTATTATTCCAAGAAAGACACGGATTTAAGGGTCTGTCCCAGATGTGTAGATCATTAGCATATCCACAAAGAAGCCGTGGGAACCCTACTGTCTGACACAATCCAAGAGTCGGGTCCTAGAATTTACACCTGGAACTACCCCTAACAAAACAGATCTCGGTGGGGGCGCACATCTTTAACACTAGCACCAGAGCCTGAGGCAGGTCTCAAACACCCAGCGCCACGTTTGCTTCCCTTGTGTTTCTAACTGATGAGGGCTTTTATGGGGGGGGCGGCTTTGTTCTTTTGGGTTTGGGTTTTTTATTTTGAGGTTTTTGTAAGTACTAAAGTTATTTCTCACTATTTACTCTTGTCAAATATAAAGGAAAGCATTTTCCCTATTAAACAGTCCCACTTTAAGGAGTCTGAAAAGGCAGGCATCTACATTTTCGTTTTCAAACAGCTGCATTCGATCTACAGAAGTGAAAGAAGAAAAAAGGAGAAAGAAAAAAAGAAAGAAAGAAAGAGAGGGGGAGAGAGGAAGGAAGGATGAAAGGAAGAAGAAGAAAGAAGGAAGGGAGAGAAAGAAGGAGGGAGGGAGGGAGGGAGGGAAGAAGGGAGAGAGAGAGAGAGAGAGAGAGAGAGAGAGAGAGAGAGAGAGAGAGAGGAGCCTTAGTGGCACATGCCTTTAATCCCAGCACTCAGGAGGCAGAGGCAGGTGGATCTCTGAGTTAGATGCCAGTCTGGTCTGCAGAGTGAGTTCCTGGACAGACAAGGCTGTTACACAGACAAACTCTGTTTCAAAAAACAACAACAACAACAACAACAACAAAAAAAAAAACAGTCACTGACCTTGGAATTGTCTAACTATTTCTTGTCCTCAGTAAAGTCCATGACCCTCTAATTCATCACCAGTTCAGACCCTGGCCTCCACTGACCTCCCCCACCCCATTTTTCTCATCACCTGAGTAAAGATGGCTCCCTGACAGTTTTCTTTAACCCAGACACCTGCAGAGCACCTGCCAGTAGGAAAATGTCTGCTTCAGAAGCAGGATAAACGCAGACAAGCAGGAGAAAGAATGGCAGCAAAGGTTCAACAACCAACCAGCAAACGCAGAAACACCGTGGCTAAAGGAGGTGTCCTGAAGGGACAGGAATGTGGCGTTTCCTGGGGCGCTGGCATTCTCGCCACCCTTTGCAGAGTGACGGGCAAGGTGAGGCAGCTACCAGACTGAGTGAGCATGGCAGCTGAATAAGGGAGAAAGAATTCAGATGTTGCCAGAGAGCAAGCAGTGAGTCACTCGGTTGACATCAGACTGTTTGGGCAGAAGAAAATCTAACAATGCTGCTCTTTGGGTTTCAAGATACCAAGTGCCTGGGCTCTGGATCCTATCATTTGTACCCCCAAATCAGGGCATTTTTGAGAGAAAAGGGAGTGGGTGTCGATTATAATTCTCCGGGGGAGCCCATATGAGCAGGGATGACCTCAGATCAATCCGTTCACTGCTAACCCGACTTCTGGTCCCCTCCAAAGCCAAGCAAGCAGATGCTAGCAGTCCTCAGGATTTCCTCCAGGCAGAGCTCCAGCTGCCTTCTTGCCTGCAGAGAAGCAGTTACAATAGCAAGGGACGGGCCCTGAGGGAGTTAATTCAACAGGTCCAGGAACCAGGCAAGTTACACTCTTAGCCTGTCTTGGAGACTCACATTATATATCATCAAATTAAAGGTGGTGAGATGTCTATGCAGAATCTACATCTAAATTTTGGGAGTAGAATGAATGAGAAGGGAGGAGGAGGACTAAAGAGAAAGGGGGTGAAGAACAAGAGAGGCTAATGAGCCTGCAGTGGTGGTACTCTCCTTTAATCCCAGCACTTGAGAAGCATGGGCACATGGATTTCTGTGAGTTCAAGACCAGCTGGTCTACAGAGTGAGTTCCAGGACAGGACAGCCAGGACGACACAGAAAAACCCTGTTTCAACACCCCTCCCCAAAAATGAAATGTAAGTCTCACTAAAGCAGAGAAGACTATTTGGGATAAGGGAAGGGGCCCATCAAGACAGATGGAAGTATGGAGATAGAAAAGACCAAAGTATAACGGCTTATATATGTGAACATGTCACGAAATGCTTTATTTTACATACTAAAAAGTAACCATTTTAAAAGAGATGGTGAAAAGTCAATTAGACTTTTCCTTGGTGGTGCACTTAAGTTTTCCCAAAGGCATTTGACCCCGTGAGATTCTTATCAGTCAGACCTGTCCAAGCCTTTGGAGACAAAGTCCAGAGTGAAGGGCTGGGCTAGCAGGCCTCAGTGTCCCACAGGTGGAAGCCTGTGGCACAGACATGTGAAGCCTCCGTCATTGTTCAAGAGGAAGGAGCAGATGTTCACTTGGGTGAGGTAATGCAGGGACCTGCCAAAGCCCAGCCAAGAGGCCTGTAGAAACAGGTCTGAAGCCTTTCCCACGCCGGGTGCAGGGAGTCTTTGCATTTGCAACAGCAGAGGCTGGTTTCCCCAGCTCGACCGATGCATGACTCACATGAGAAGAACGTACGCTGGACAGGAAGGAAATGGGAAGCCTGACTTCAACTCAACCAACACGCACACAGACCCTCTGCTTCCCTTACCAGTGGCGTAGAGCATCCACGCAGCCACGGCATCATCAGGGCAATGCCCCAGAGGCTTTGGTGGTACAGATGCAGTCAGAGCTTCATTCTGTAACTGGGGACACGTTCTGGTAGAGAAGGCTGTGGCAAGGGGGATGTCTTACGGAATTTTCCTGTTCCAATGATAAAATACCCTGGCAGAAGCGACTTAAGAGAGAAAGGGCTTGGTGTGGGAGGTCCTTCTGTCTATGTGTTGCTTTTATTGGTTAATGCATACAGAAACTGCCTTGGCCTGTTAATAGGGCAGAACTTAGGTAGGTGGAGGCGGGGGGGGGGGACTGGATGGAATGCTGGGAGAAGGAAGGTGGAGAGAGACACCATGGAGCCTCCGCCAGAGTCAGACTTGCCAAAACTTTGTCGGTAAGCCACTGTCATATGACAATATACAGATTAATAGAAATGGGTTAAATTAAGATGTAAGAGTTAGCAAATAAGAAGCTAGAGCGAATGGGCCAAGCAGTGATTTAATTAATACAGCTTTTGTGTGATTATTTCAGTTCTGGGTGGCCGGGATGAAGAAGAGACTCCTTGCAACAAGGGCTTGTTTCGGCTTACAGTTCCAGGGTTCAGTCCACCATGGTAGAGAAGTCATGGGCTGCAGGAGTTTGAGGCAGCTGCTTGCATTGTGTCCACAGTCAGGAAGCAGAGAGTGATGAACACTTGTCTTCAGCTTACTTCCTCTTTTCTATACTGTCAGAGATCCCAGCCTAAGGAATGGCACTGTTCATAGTGGGCAAGTCTTACTCAGCGAACCTAATCAAGATAACCCCCAACAGGCATGCCCAGAAGCCCATCTGCCAGGTGCTTCTGGGTCTCCTCAAATACAACAGCTGAGATTAACAGCCAGAGGGTGTGGTGGGTAACCACAGAAACCATGGGTCAAATCAGAGGCTACAAGACTCTAGGGTAAAAGCACATGCCGCTAGGTGTGTGGTACAGACATGTCCTCAGTGAGCCTGGGACAAGCTGGAGTCCTAACCTGCTGCTCATGAAATCCTCCCAGTAACGTCCCGGTCACTGGCCTCCCAGGGTTGGCATCTGTCTTCTGCTTTGCAGCCTGAAGGATTTTCTAAAGCACAGGCATGTTCAGTCTTTCAGGGCATCCCCCAGTGTGGAGAGGAATCCATTTGTGATTGGGGATGTCCTGCAGAAAGTCATGGTTGAGGGCTCAGTCATTCCCATCCTGTGACTTCCAGACTCCCCTGACCCCTCATGCAAGAGTTACAATGACCCTTCCCTTTCCCTGTGTCTGTTTGCACCAACTGGTCCTCGGCGTCTAAGCCTGCCAATACTCTCAGGCTCCCTTGTGTTTCTAGATCAGTGGGTCTCAGCCTTCCTAATGCTAGGACCCTTTAATATAGGTCCTCATATTGTGGTGACCCCCAAACATAAAAATATTTTGCTATTGGTTTTTGTTTGCTTTTCCAGACAGGATTTCTCTGTGTAGCCCTGGCTGTCCTGGAACTTTCTCTGAAGACCAGGCTGGTCTCACACTCAGAGATCCACTTGCCTCTGCCTCCCCATTGCTGGGATGAAAGGTGTGTTCCAGCATGCCTGGCCATAAAATTATTTTCCTTGCTACTTCATCATTAATTTTGCTACTGTTATGAATAGCAATGTAAATATTTTTGGAGGTAGAGGGGTTGCGACCCACATGTTGAGAACCATTGTTCTAAACCCTTTCTTTGATCCACATCATCCTGTCTTCCTTTAAATATCTCAAATGGTTCTACCCATCCCAGAGGCCACATGTCTATTCCATCTCCACCCAAACCCAACTCAAGCCTCTGATGGGTGCCTATGTCATCTTCCTTAACACTGGTGGTGCCATGAGATGTCTTCACCCATAAGGAGACTCAGAAAGCCTGAAGGCAGGAATTTGTCCAGTCAATCTGTTTGTCCCCAATGCCTATACCACTGTCTAGCTACTGTCTAGTTGTTGTGCAGTCATGCATTAACACAGATTTCTATCAGATCATATTCATGATTCGCTTTCTTGAGGCCTCAGATACTTCAAAAGAAGTGGCACTAAGACAATGTCTTCATCGGGGAAGCCTGAAGAGTCATGATCAAAACAGTCAGAACACAGAAATGGACTAGACTTTACAATCATGGAAGAATAAAAAGACGGCCGGAGTTTACTATCTTGCCATCTCCTCGCCCCAAAGACCTAAATATGTACGACTAATACTTTTGGACTACCTGTCTCTTCAGGAAGCAAGTGACAGCCAGTTCCATGCAGCTCAGGGACTACAGATTTTTAAAGGGGAAACAGAGGAAAGAGGTGAGGGTTGAAGTAAGGGAGAGGAACCAAGGAGAAGTAGCATTTTGAGAGGTAAAGAGAGGCCTGGAAGCTCCATGATAGAGCACAGAACTGCAAGAAACCATGGAGTCCTTGTCCAGGGAGGACCAAGTCCATGGAAGTGCTTATGTGTCACAGGGTTTGAGCGTAAAATTGGGTGGCAGGAGACAGAGCATCATCCAGACAGAAGGCTGAGTAAGTGAGCCTGTGCTCTGGTGATCCTCTGGTTACTTTCCAGCCCCTCCAAAACAGAATATGGCCCAAGATTTCTAAAGAATACACCTAAAACATTCTGTATGACTCTCGAGGCAAAAGGTGATTGTTGTGAGCAAATCAACACACACTCTTGTGCCAAGAACAAGAAGTTAAAAATAAAATAAGAATAGAAAACATGGGGAAAAAAAAAAGAGGGAATTAGGGGGAGCTCATCAGAGAGAGCTCACCAGAGAGAGAGGAGGAACTGGCATTCCCCCCAGGCACACTGCTGTGGGGCTGGAGCCAGCAGGGCCGTCCCCAGAGATGTTTTCGTCCCTCGTTGAGGAACCCCTGGTAACCTGTCAAGAGAATATAAGGAGGGAATAGATGTTAACTCTGTGAAATTAAGTCCCCCAGGACCTGGAGATCTAGGCTCACCCCATAGATCTCAGGATAGCCTCCCTGCCGCCCCTGTCAAGTGGTGAGCCAACTCCTTCCCCATCACTTCAGAGATCTTGACACAGCTCTCCTACATCCAGCCAAACCCTTTCCCTAGAGAGAGGAAGAAGCGAAAATGGGAAGGCAATGGAAGCCTAACAGAATTGATGAGTCCTTGGGTATACGAAGAGGAGTCTAATGTTCCACACTAAACGTGCCTGATGCCCTGACCTTCTGTGATCTGTGTTCCTGACTAAGATCCTGGAGATATCTCTGGTCAGAATGCCGTTCATGAGTGCTGGAGCCAGTACTGCTCACGCCAGCCCTACAAGTTCACGATGCAGCAGAAGCTGGGTGTCCATGCGCACAGGCTGCAGTGCCTTGGACACATGGAAAGTGACCTCTGATACCCCTGTCTCCTTGTCCCCATTGCGCTGCTCCTATTACAAATGCACAGCGGGCAGGGAGGGTACCAAGCCCCAGCAGCCACCATCTCTGGCCAGAACCTCACTTTGTTCTCCCTCTCTCCCTCTGTGTTCTGATTCAGACTGGACTGAGATACAACTTCCTCGGGGCCTTTTCCATCACCTTTGGTTCTCAGTATGTACATACAGCTCTGCATTCTCTGATTGGAAAGCTGTATGCCGAGGGTGCTCCTCGTCCCTAAAGCAGGAGGCTTCGCGAAGACTTGATGGAAAGCTGACCGAGGAAGAAACTCTGCCTTCCAGTTAAGAGAATGAGATCCTAGGGGCAGGCTCCCCATTACAGTGTGTTGGCTTCCAGAGCCTGCTCCCTAACATTTCCCTACTCTCAAGGATCCCTCTGGCATCCCAGAATCCAGCCGTGGGCCAGGTTCTCGGAAAAGCAGAAGGATGGAGCTGCATGAGAAACTGGCTCCTAGCATCGGTGTAGCATCAAACACTGGCACTCAGAATCTCATTTCGATCTTGACCTAATCCATTGACATAAACAGACCCTGCATTATTTAATTGTCTAGATGGGGAAACTGAGGCTCAGAGAAGAGAATGCCAATTATTCCAATTTCTATAGCTATTCAGAAAAGGGGCTGACCTAGAACTAGAGCCTCCAGTTGCTGTCTGATGCTCTTACACTAGCACACTTGCAATTAGAAAATCCTCCAGCCTCAAATGATTTGTGCGTACCTCAACAGCCGAAGAAGGGACCCCTGAGCAGGGCTCTCCAAACAGCCCTTGTCCTGCAGCTTTATCTGTGAACCCATGATGGCGCAGTGACATCCTGCAAGATAAAGAGGCCCCAAAGAACAGACAGTCACACCCTGGGACAGTCCAGGTCCTGCTGACTCAGGAGGAGCATTCCCACGGGTGACCACAGCCTGCTCCAGGCTGTTGCCCAGGAGACAAAAGAAATCAGCAAGCACAGAGTTGCTTGCCCTGCCCAGACTCTCAGGGCAATAGCTTAGCCCAGAAGCTGGCAAGCACACACCACTTGGGTGTGACTCGGCGGGGTGCCAGGGCTGCAAGCCCGACCAGGTCTCCGTTCCTGGTAACACCCTCATGGTTCACCCTCTTGCATGCGGGAGAAGAGTCATCCCTCTGGCTGCAGCCCAGTCTCAGCAGCTGATTGGAGCAGGGAATTGCAGAGATCGTCGCCACACCAAGCATTATTTAAAAGAGTTAAACTCCAGGCTTGTAGATGCATCCTTTTTTCAAAACAGGCATGTCTTCTCATCCAGAATAGGAATAGGAATACATAATAGGAAGAGGAAGAGGAAGAGGAAGAGGAAGAGGAAGAGGAAGAGGAAGAGGAATAGTGCTCCTCCAACCTGGGGAGACAGTCCTGTTTACCAGGCAGGGCCTACTTAGCTATGTAAACATCCAATGAATAGCTTGTCAGGGGCAAGACAGTGTGCAAAGTGAGATAGACATAAAGGCTGTCAGATTGAACGTCCTTGGTTCAAATCCTGCCTGGCCTTAGGCACATCACTCTGCATCGCTGTATTTGAGCTGTCCTGCTCCCTTTCTTTTTCTCTTCCCTTTCTATATTTCCTTTTTATTCCCACCCACTAACTCAGTGGGATCTTATGTACAGAATATGGGAGTGCCAGGTCAGGGATATTCCCTACATCATTTCAGAATAAGACAAGCAGTGACCGTCCCTCCTTGTATTGACGGCACCAGGTGCAATCAGCCAGCAACTCGGCAGCGGTCTGCTCCACTCTGAACCCAGGTACTGAGCACATGCCTGTGTGAAGCCTGGAGCCTTCTAACGGCAGCTCGAGGCGGAGACTCTGCAATGGGGGATTGGCTTGGCTTCCCTGCCCCCTGTGCCTCAGCTTTCTCATCTTTGAAACGGGGATGCTAGTACCTAACTCACAGAGCTATGATAATTAAATAAGATGGCATTGTTAAGGAATTGATAGTGTGATGGACTTCACCGACAAATTGATTGGATTAAGGGCGTGAGTGAGGCATATCTTCAAGTATGCTTATAAGAGTATCCGGAGAGGATTAATGGAAGAAAAAAGATCTGCCCTTAATGTGGGCAGCACTGTCCCCATTGGCCTGGGTCTTGGGCTGAACAAAAAGAGGAAAAGGAGAAGGCCAGTAAGTGCTGGCATTTCCCTTTCTGTCTCCTGGTCCACTGAGACCAGAGCATGCAGTCTTTCAAGTTCCCGTATCAGATGGAAGGTGCCCTCAAACCGTGAGCCAAAGGAAAACTTCCCTTCCTTCCATCACTTCTTATTGTTCTGTTCCTCTTTTTCTTTTTTTGTCACAGCCATATGAAAATAACTAATAGAGGAAATCAGAGAATTTCCTGATTCAGAAATTGGGGTATCAGAGAATGGGGGTATTTGCCATGACAGCTTAATGTGGTTCTTGAGTTATTAGAACTGGCTTGCAGGAGGAACATGAACGAGTTAAAACCACGAACTAGCAAAGATCAAGAATGCTGCAGGCAGAAATTAATGGATCATTCTAGCAGAGTGTAGAACATCAGAAAGCCACGAGAAATGCAAGCAGTAGAGGATTGGCTCCCAAGGTTTCACAGAGGAATAAGGATTCCATTGGGAATTGGACTAGAGGTCATTCATTTTACATTTGGCAAATGATATGGCTATAGCTGGCCTGTATCCCAAAAGAGGAAAGAACTACATTGTTTGACGGGAAATTTCAAGGTAGCATAACATTCAACTACGGCACTGTTACTGCACATTGCCTTTAATGAGATTTACAGTGAGAATTCAAAGATGATGAGAAACGTGCGGTTGGTGAAGTAAGGAGTGTGAACGTGTGTGTGTGTGTGTGTGTGTGTGTGTGTGTGTGTGTGTGTGTGGTGTGGACTCAGAGGGTAACTTGTAGAAACCAGCTCTGTTCTATCATGTAGCTTCTGGGGCCCAAATTCAGGTTTTCAGGGTTAGCGATAAGTACCTTAAAGCACCGAGTCAACTCACCAGAAGGTGCAGACAATGCAGGCTTGAAGAGGAGAATCTCTACTTAGTTCTATTAAAGAGAAACCCGGGACTCAGTGTGGAGAAAACAGGAAAGGCTGGGAAGGGGCCTCGAGGGCAAGCCCCATCCACAGCGATGTGTGCTAACGCAAACTCAATCGGAAACAGAGATGGAGCGAGAGCACCAAGGACATCACGCTCCACCAGAGTCACCTAGGAAAGTGTTTTCCATGTTCAGCGGGAGGACACATGGAGGCTGCTGCAGCGGTGATCCAAGGGTCAGACGATTTCTGGAGCTGGCAGCAAGCACTTAGTATCATTCACATAACGAATGATTGCCATAAATACAAAAATGCAAGGATGAGGTGGCCAAAGAAGTACACATCAAAGTTCCAGGAAGCTGCCGAAGCCAGGCAGCCTGTAGCAGGGCCAAATCTCCTGAGTACATGAAGTTAAGTTACAGTAGAGACAAAATAATCATATTATTATATCATATAATGTAATATCTAGAAACATGGGACAGTCACCCATGATCAAGATCTGAGTTGAGTGTTTACAGACTCTTGACTTCTTATTCAGAGAATTGTGTAGCAAGCTTTCTTTTCAGAACATCTTCGGGTTGACAGTCCCCAAATAACAGCATGAAGACTTCTTATTATTTATGAAAGCTTAGCCTTTAGCTTAGGATTGTCCCCAAACAGCTCTTAAACAACTTAAATTAACCTGCTTCTATTAATCTACATGCCATGTGGCTTCTTCTTCTTCTTTTTTTGTTTAACCTCTTCTCCTTTCTGTATGTGTGACTTGGTTCACATATTGCGGGTGTCTCCATGCACCTGTATTTATCTCTTCTTCTTCTCTCTCCACAGAAGTCCCACCTATCCTCTCCTGCTTAGCCATTGGCTATTCAGCTCTTTATTAAACCAATCAGAAGACGTCTTGGCAAAAACACATCTTCACAGTGTACAAAAAGATTATCCCACAACAGGATTGACAAGAAAGGCTAGCAAATACTTGAAAAAGATGCAATATAAACTTATTGGATCAAAAGGATAGTATAGATTAACAAAGGACACACTGACAAGATGGACAGCGGCCAGATAGGGGACAGAACTCAAGGGCCCCAATTATTGTTTGGAGTTTCCTTTTATGGGGTTCAAGAGAAGGAGCTGGCTACTAAGTGGTTGTTGGGTAGATTTTATATTTTGATTAATAAATTAGGTTACGTAATACTTTCTTCTACTTTGAACGCTCCTCCCATAATGCATCTGACTTAAATCATATGCATTTGCAATAATGTATAGTAAATAGAGTATTATCCCCTAAAAGATTACAAGAGGATACAAAGATTTGCCCTACTGTGTATGCACCCAGTACCACTTCAGGCAAGATCAACCCTCCTAGCCTTAATACCCAGGTATGTTGGGAATACACTAGTATAGAAACGGTACAAATCTGATTATAACCATTGGAGGAGAAACTCACACTCTTGCTCAGAGTTGGGAGTACCTATAGCCTGATGTGAGGGTGTGTCTCAAGCGGTTCTGAGGAGGTTGTTGGAGGCAATATTTGTAGAGGGGTGTGCACATAGCACATTCAGATAAAGGAATCAAGCTTTGCATGAAAGCCAAATGAAACCCACATTAAACTATTGCCTATGCTTGCCTGCTTGAAAACCAACCCAAGGAAAACACCATAAGTGTTACTCTTTTGTTCTGGTCCCTTTAAGGGCAAGCCACGCCCACTCCCAGCCACTTCTGACCTCCTGGTCGCCATCTTAACTCTTTTCTCTTCTGTCCCCGTCTCTAGGCGTGTGCACACGTGTCTTCTCTGTCTCTATGTTTTTATGTCTTTATGTCTCTCTATCTCTGTCTCTTTGTCTCTCTGCCTCTTCTTTAAGTAATAAATATTTAGTTTTATGTATAGTCTTATGTTTATTTACAACGCCATCCGCTGTACTCGCCCGCCTGACTCACCCGGCCACATGGCGGGACCAGCCCGCCACCTTGGAGATCTTGCAGGGACCCACAGCTGTCCTTGTCGGACTAGCGACTGCTCTACGCGTCTGACAGGGAACATGCCAGCATTAAACAACAACAACAAGAAGCGTTACAGGAGCAGAGCTGAGAGTCAGAATTACCTAAGGTTGTTGAAGCCCAGATAGCACCATCAGGAGTCCCAGATGCTGGAGATGGATCTGCAGGGATAGTACCTTCCCTACTTGGCTTCAGACTTGCTTAGGTTTGGTCTTCCCTCACTGTTTTCCTAGTTCTCCCTTTTGGATGGGAAGATTTACTCTGTGCTCTTGCATATTGTACATAACATTTAAAAACAAAACAAAAAAGAGGTACATAGCTACTAGTTTGTCCTGAGTGTCAGGAGAGATTTTGTACTTTTTGTGGTGTTGAAGCTGTTAAAGGCTGTGGAGAGTTTTGTAGTTGGGTTGAGTGTATTTTGCATGATGAGACAGCCATGAGCTTACAGGGACTAGGGGTTGAATGTGGCCCTAGTCTGCTCCCTTGTTGCTATGGTAAACATCATGACCAAAGAGCAGTTCAGGGAGGTGGGGGTTTATTTCAGCTTACAGCTCACAGTCCATCATCCAGGGAGGTACGGTGGGCACTCAGGGCAGGAATCCAGAGCAAGTGAAGCAGTTCAGATACAGAGCTTGTGGGAGTTAGTAGATCATGAGAGTTTTTAGGATTAATCCATGGATAGATTCAAAATTTGATCAGACTACAGGAATCAAAAGAACCGTAGAGAATGAAGATTATTTGGAGAAGAGGGTCACCGAAGATGTGGCTTTGAAGGATATAGCTTGTCTCCTGATTTCCCGGCTTTCATGATGCATTGCACTGGCCTCTATAGCATCCTGCTTCACCTCAGGCCCAAAGCAGGCAGACCAGCCAACCTTGGACCAAAACCGCTGTGCCCAGTGACAAGAAACTAACGAGTAGAGGTGACCCTGAAAGCAGTGCTCTGAGTGAAGCAAGTCCTTGGTGGATACTAGACACCACTGTGGAGATATGCCTATGTAACTCTTTCCATTTCTCAGCAAAATGGAAACTCTTACGGTTCTGTTTTATAAATAAGAAAACAGCTTCAGAGTCATTAGCAAGTTTGCTAAGGTCTGAGTACTAATTAGAAGCAAACTCAAGGCCCTGAGCAGGTGTGCTTGGATCCAGACCACCAAGATCTTATTGACTGTGTAGAATGATGCAAATGCTTCCTAGGCGCTCACTCACCTAGGAGGTGTTTTGTGCTCCTCAAGTGCAAGGCACTTCCTTGGGGCTTTACACATGTTAATGTAAGTAAACAAATTACTCTGGTTGAAGCCAAAAATGTGATTAGGTCTTTACCAAGTGCTGAAAGCCAGAGGAAAACAAACACTATGCTGTCCCTAGCTATCTTTGTTTTCCCTCTGGGGGCTCCTCTGCTCCCCTGATGGCCTGGCAAACCCCTGGCTTCTGCAGGCAGCCATAGCACCTTCGCTTTGCACTGTTCTGCTCCCATCACACATCAGTCATGTTGGGGAAGAATCTTTCTGTACGCTGTGAGGATGTGTCTTTGCCAAGGCGCCTTCTGATGGGCTTAATAAAGACCTAGATGGCCAATAGCTATGCAGGAAGAGGTTAGGCAGGACTTCAGGAGACAGAGAGAGGACTCTGGGAAGAAGAAAGGCAGAGAGTAACCTTCCTTTCCACAGAGAGGAAGCAGGAGGTGCAAGATGGAAGAGAGGTAATGCCCTGTGATAGAACATAGATTATTATATAGAACATAGACTAAAATAAATAGGTTGATTTAAGTTGTAAGAGCTAGTGGGATAAGCCTAAGCTAATGGCCAAGTTTCCATAAGTAATAGGAAGTCTCCATTGTCATTATCTGGGAGCTGGCTGGCAGGACAGAATAAGATTTGTTACACAGTTATAAGAATAAGCCATGGATTTGTTACAAGAATAAGCTAGGGTTTGTTTGTTTGCTTGTTTGTTTTGTGTTTTTGGTTTGGTTTGGCACAATAAAAAATTTCTTACCTTGTTGCTGACAGCAAGGCTAAAAAGGCTGGGCAGTAGTGGCAAATGCTTTTAATTCCAGAACTTGGGAGGCAGAAGCAGGTGGATCCCTGTGAGTTTGAGGCCAGCCTGGTCCACAAAACAAGTTTTGGACAACCAGGATTATACAGAGAAACCCACTCTCAGATAAACAACAACAGCAACAAAGCTAATTTATGATCTTTAAGAAAAACTAAAGGTTTTTGTTTTGTTTTTATTGTTGTTTTGTTTTGAGACAGCGTTTTCCAGTAGCTGTGGAGTCAGTCCTGGAACTCACTCTGTAGACCAGCCTGGGCTCACTTGCCTCTGCCTCCCGTGTGCTGGGATTAAAGGCATGCACCACCACTGCCCAGCCAGAAACTAAAATTTTTGTTTGTTTGTTTTTTGTTTGGTTTGGCTTTGACACAACAACACTGTGAAGGCAAATACATAGGCAATGAGCTTGAAAAATTTAATTCAGTCTACTAAGCATGCAGAGAAAAGAGATTCCAGGAGAAAAATGTCCCCCCTCTTCACTAAAACATAAAACATTGATTTAGAAGAACTATACTTAGCTGGGTGGTGATGGCATGTGCTTTTAATCCTAGCATTTGGGAAGCAGAGACGGGCAGATCTCTGTGAGTTCAAGGCCAGCCTGGTCTACAGAGAGTTCTAGAACAGCCACAGCTGTTACACAGAGAAAACTTGTCTCAAAAGAAAAGAAAGAAGAAAAAAGAAAGAAAGAAAAGAAAAATAGAAAAACTATATATAGTATAAAGATGAAAGAAATCAATTTAAATGTTTTTAGACAAGTGAGAAAACCATTAAAAACTTTAAATGTGAATTTTTTTACATAACATAAATTTGCATATTAGTCTTATTGAAATGTGTGTCATATAGTTGTATAAGTATCAAGATAAAGGTGTTTATCAGGGGCTGGGAACACAAATCAGCAGTTAAGAAGACTCAAATTATGTTCTCAATATGTGTATGGGGCAACTCAAAGATGCTGGTAACTCCAGTTCCATGGGATCCTACACCTCAGATCTCTCTAGGTTCCTATACAAGTGTGAGTGCGCACACACACACACACACACACACACATACTTTAAAATGATAAAATGTGTCTTTAAAAAAAGTTTTTTAAAGCTTGGCAGTGATGCATACCTTTAATCCCAGCACTCAGGAGGCAAAGTAGGCAGATCTCAAGGTCAGTCTGGTCTCCAGAGTTCCAGGACAGTCAAAGCTACACAGAGAAACCTTGTCTTGGGGGTAAAAATAAGAAATACATCAGAATATATATTATATGAAATGAAGAAAAATGGATGTAAGATCCTCCGCCACTTAGGCACCAAAATACTAGGTGAAGTTTGTATATAGTCTTGGCACATCTTCACTTGCCATTCTTTTTAAACTTGGCTTTCAATGTGCACATGGCACAGGTGTCCATAGAGGCCATAAGAGCAGTTAGAGCTGGAATGACAGTACTGGGGATTTGAACCTGGGTCCTCGCTGTAAGAACAGCAAGGAGCTTTTAACCACTGAGCCATTTCTCCAGCCTTGTCACACATTGCTTTAAGTTGTCTTTAAATCTCTGACACAAGGAAATGTCTTATAAACAATTGCTACATTGAATTGTTCAGTGACGGGGAACCTCCTTCAGTCTTTGAGAGGCTGGACCAGTCTGAGGCATGACTTTGGGGTACCAAAAAGCCACTGATCCTTGCTTGCCCCTCTCTTTCCATGCTCCACACCTTGATATTGGACCCCCATTCCTGTTCCGTGAGTTTTCCCTTTTAATAAAGAAAAACCTTAGAATACTCTATTGGAGTTAATTTGGGATTATTTGACTCGCGTTTCCCCCATTCGATGCATTCAGCATCAGTTTAGGGATTCATGAAAAGAAAAAAAGGATGTGGACATGTTTAGTGTAGACAGATCTTAAGAAAGCACATTTTCATCCACAATTAACTGGCGATGTGGAACATGGAGGTATGGGGGATTGTTGTATTAAGGACTGGCGGGCTGTGTCCCGCTGTCCGGCTAGCTTAGCCCCAAAATAATTACACAGAAACTGTATTCATTTAAACACTGCCTGGCCCATTAGTTTTAACCTCTTATTGGCTAACTCTTACATATTTGTTTAACCCATCTCCATTAATGTGTATCGCCACTTGACTGTGGCTTACCAGCATGAGTCTAACCAGCATCCATCTCAGAGAGGAGAACCATGGCGTCTGCCACACTGCCTTCTTCCTCCCAGCATTCTGTTCTGTCTACTCCGCCCACCTATGGGCTGCCCTCTCAAAAGGCCAAGGCAGTTTTCTTTATTCAACCAATAAAAGCAACACATAGAAAGAAGACCCTCCTACACCAGGGGACAGCTTAATTAATAGTGACTGGAGCATGGGTTAATGGTGGCTTCCTTCCTTCTTCATACATTTTATTTAATGATTTATTTTAATTAATTAATTAATTTGTGTGTGTGTGTGTGTGTGTGTGTATGTGTGTTATGTATGCCTCAAAAAGCCAGAAGAGAGGGTCAAGTCCCTCTTGTAGAGCTGGAGTTACAGATAGTTGGGAGCTGCTATGAATTGGGTACAGGAAACCTAATTCTGTTTTGGGTCCTCCCTCTGAAAGAGCAGGAAGCACTCTTAGCCACTGAGCCATCTCTCATACATTTTTACATGTTAAAAACAGCATATGATGAGTCCATGTAAATTTTATAATCTAGAAGTATATTATTTTAATTTAAAATTAGAAAATTTGTTAATGTTGACAATACCTGAAACCTAGCTAAAAGTCTAAAAATTTCACCTGAACTAAAATAATAAAAGTACTAATTAAGAAAAATCAAGAAACTAATAAACAGATAAAGCCTAAGTTTTGTTACAAAGTATTTGTGATGCACCAACAAGAAGTGCTTTCCTGCTTGTATGTGTTTGCAAATGATATGATGCATGAGAATGTCTCTCTCCTTTTAGGCACTGGTGTGTAGCCTTGAGGAAGGGAGCTAACTGACACCTTTGAGAATCAAAGGAAAGTTAAAAGAATAATAGCCCCCTCACCCGCAAAAGGAATGAAACACACACACACACACACACACACACACACACACACAAACTTAAGAAATAAACCTCAGTGCTCCTGGTCCCCAAAGCCTACTCTTTCCCCCACTCCTGAATCCCAAGAAACATAGATAACTCAACTCTACTCCATGCATTTTCCCCTTTTACCTCCTTTCCAAGTTTTGTTATGAAGCATGTCAGTCGCAGAGAGAAACTGAAAACACAGAATAGCAGGCAGTCAGACACTTGCCAAATCTCACCTGGACGGAGTACTGTTTTACCTGTTTGCCCTTTTTGTCCATTTATTGCTGTTTCTATGATTTGAGACAGGGTTTTTGCTATGTAGCCCAAGTTACGTTTAAACTTGAAATCCTTCCTCCTTAATCTCTTGAGTGCTAGGATTAAAAGTGTACACCACCGTACCCAACCCGCAATTCTCTTTATTTTGTTTTAGGTTTATCTATTATACATTTGATGAAATATTTAAATATTGTAGACATTAGTAAAATCACCTATAAATATTTTAGTATGTGCTTCTAAAAATAAAAAGGTTTCTTTCAACCAACAAGCCAATGATATTCAGAAGTATCAACAATAATTCCATTATATCCATGGCTGAGATTCTTGTGGCACAACAAACATTGCAAAGAAAGCCAAGTCCTAAGAGAATATGATGAACTGCAAATGATGCTCTCAAAAACTTTTATCTCTCCATGGGATACCGGGGCACTGGTTGCCTTCTCCAGCACACTAAAGATCAGACAACATTGCTCCAAAGCCAAAGAGGTTTCCTTGCTGGGAGACCTTGATAGGCAGCTGCTCTGGCCTGCATGTCCTTGCAGTGTTATTCCTACTCTGACCTGGGAAGAATGGCAGACACATGTCACTAGACATGTGTTAAGGGCCACGCAAATGTTCCTTTTTTTCAGTCTCTACAGCAGAGGAAGCCAATGACCTAGGTCATGGCATTCTAAATCACAACCATTTATGGCAGTAGCTATCCTTCCTTGCACCAAGTCTCCAAAGCTTCAAGATGACCAACAGGGTTGACTGAACTCCACCATAGCTCTGGTTGGGTCAGGATCCGTCATCCCTATTCAGACTGAACTTGGGTTCCAGGAAGTTATAGTTTTTAAAGGTGAAAAAGCACACACCCTATATCTGCCCCGCCACAGTCTCCATATCAACTCCCAACACAAAGTTGTTGATGATGCTCTCAGCCCTCTGAGCATAACTCTGTCTGTAGACATTCTTTTCTTTTAAAATATATATTTTTTAAATATTTGTCTTGTCTTAGTAACTTTTCAATTGATGTGATATGACGTCCTGACCAAGGTAACAGAAATAGTTTATTGGGGCTGACAGTTTCAGAGGGTGAGAGTCCATGACCACCATAGTGGGGAACATGGCAGCTGGCAAACACAGCGCTGGAGCAGTAGCTGAGAGCTCACACCCCGATTCACAAGCAGAAAACAAAGAGCATACTGGCCATGGCACTGAGTCTCTCGAAACCTCAAGCTTGTCTCCAGTGACAACCCTCCTCCAATAAGACCAGCTCACCTAATCCTTCCCAAATAGTTCCAACCAACTGGGAACCAGGTATTCCAACGTAAGAGCCTGTGGGCGCTATTATCACTCAAACCAGCACAATTTTTATTATTTTAAATGATATGTACTCATAGAGGCGAGATTGTATGTATACATAAGTGCAGATATCTATGGAAACCAGGGACATCAGATCTTCCTGGAGCTGGAGTTACAGGCAGTTGTGAGATTCCAGACATGGGTGCTGGGACCCACGCTCAGATCCTCTGCAATGAGCACCCTTGACCACTGAGGTAGCTCTTCAGTTCTGGGTGTTGCCTTGACATTATTACTTAACCGTTTGTCTCTCTCACTAGACTGAGCCCCTTGAGAGAATAAGTCTCATCCTTTTCTACCTTGTATCCCCCTGTGATTGGATGGATATTGGTCCCTGGGAATATCTGTCCAAGACTTATTGCTCAACACATATTAAGTAACCTTTTAGGGGTAGGAGTGGTCTTCAGAGAAGAAATTAAATGAAGCCTTTTCAGCAAAAATTGTATTGGATGACCAGGAGGCATTGAATCCAGTGACAAGCATCTGTCAAGACATGAGATACAGAAGAGAAGATCCTAAAGGAGAAGCTTCTCAGTGTCTGAGAAGACACTGGCTGATCCTAGAGTGGCAACCATCATAATAAAAACAAAGATCACCTGGAGCCACCAGAAGCAGATTTCTAGCTTTCAGAGCAGTTAAGAAGTAGATGATAGGTAGGTAGGTAGATAGATAGATAGATAGATAGATAGATAGATAGATAGATAGATGATAGATAGATAGATAGATAGATAGATGATAGATAGCTGGATGGATAGATAGATAGATAATAGATAGATAGATAGATAGATAGATAGATAGATAGATAGATAGATAATAGATAGATAGATGATAAATAGCTGGATGGATGATAGATAGATAGATAGATAGATAGATAGATAGATAGATAGATAATAGATAGATAGATAGATGATAGACAGATAGATAGATAGATAGACAGATAGATGATAGATAGATAGATAGATAGATAGATAGATAGATAGATAGATAGAAAGGAGGGAAGGAGGCAAGAAGGACTTTGCAGCAACCACAGAAAACTAGGATAGTCCACTTACACCCTGAAGTCAAAGTGTATTTGTCAAACTGCAGACCTGGAAGAGCCAAGCAGGAAACTGGGCACCTTTTCCATGCCCCACAGAAAGGGAGGCATTCCCCCAAGGCCGCTGGACTCTGGCTAACAAACATAAATGGCACAGTTCTGGGTGTCAGCTGAACAATTTGTCCCTTTTGATGAGGTGCCTTTACCTCTCTCCCTCCATACTCATTGTCCTTCCCTCCCTGGTTTTACTGTAAGTGGACGAATTGACTTTTGATGTATTGCCAGAACGCAACAAATTATGAGCCTCTTGCTTTCAGGTTGGAAAGGGGAGGACTTCTACTTCCCTATTCAGTTATTTCAGGCCAGGGTGGGAGCAGGTTTTGTGCCAGCAGCATCCTGATTATGATTCAGGATGTGCAGCCAAAGGCAAACAGTTCCTCTGTAAATTCAATCACATAGGAAGGAGCAAAAGCCCAAACAAGAAAGGCCGGGTTCTCTTTGTGTGTACAGCCAAGGGGTCCTGGGAAGTTGGCGAGGGATGATGCCCTATCTTAAGCAAAAACAAGACTAAGCTCAAGCAGTGGTCTTCTAGAAACTTCCACATATATGCTATATAGGAATGGAGCAGCTCTAACCTTACAGAACTATGTTCTGGACAATTTCAAATGGATTAGCATCTTTTCATAGCCAGAATTAAAATGTCAATTATTTTATTATTTTTAATTAGGTATTTGTGTGTGAGTCTGTGTACAGGTTTGTACATATGAGCCCAGTGCCTACAAAGGCCAGAAGAAGGCATTGACTCCACTGGAGCTGGAGTATAGGTGTTTATGAGCTCCCTGGTATAGGAACTGGAAACCAAACTTGGGTCCTATGCAAGGACAATATGAGCTCTTACCTGCCCAGTCATCTTTCTGGTCCCAAATGTTCTTTTGTTTGTTTGTTAGTTGGTTGTTTTTAGTTCTATGCAAAACATTCTGTTTTTAAAAAATTACTTCTCACCCCATCAGTGGTGGTGCATGTCTTTAATCCCTGCACTCAGGAGGCAGAGACAGACAGATTTCTATGAGTTTGCGGCCAGCCTGGTCTACAAAGCAAGTTTCAGGACAGCCTGGCTACACAGTAAAACCCTATCTTGAGCAAACAAAACAAAACAAAAAATAAAATAAAAACAACAAAATCACGCCTTCTTGGGAAAATTTCTATCTACAACTTCCATGTTATGGAATCTACAAAGAGCCCAGATGATGACAGCTACGAACACGCTCTTTTATTAATATATAATGCAACTCAAAGTAGGGAGTTTTTGCTCAGTTAGTCATGATTCAACAACGGATTGAGATGATGTGGGATTCCCCCGTGTATACTGTGAATCTGTTTTATTACCAGTGGTTAATTAAAAAAAAAAAAAACTGCTTTGGCTTATGGCAGTGCAGAATATAGTAAGGCAGGAAATCCAAGCAGAGATAGGGAAGGAAAGAAGGCAGAATCAGAGAGATGTCATGTAGCTACAGAAGTAGGAAAATGCCAGAACCTTACTGGTAAGCCACAGCCTCGTGCTGATACACAGATTAATAGAAATGGGTTAATTTAAGATATAAGAGCTAGCTAGGAATATGCCTAAGCCGTTGGCCAAACAGTGTTGTAATTAATATAGTTTTTGTGTGATTTTCAGGTCTAGGTGACCGGAAAATGAAAATACAGCCTCCATTTACATTGAGAAATCAATTTAGCAAAAAGAAACCAGCATTTTTGCCTATTCAGAAGAGAAGGAAGAGAATATATACGAGTGGGTGCAGCTCATATATTTTGGAGCAGACTTCCATACATGCCTCTGACTTATGATAGAAAAGGTACCTTCCACTGTGCTAGGATTCAAAATGTGTAGCTGTGACTATCTTAGAAAACCTGCTCTCTAGCCCAGAAAGAAGAGCCCTGTCTCATCATCAGTATCCAAGTTCTTTCATTTGTTTTGTTTTTTCATTTGAGACAGGGTTCCTCTTAAGTAGCCCTGGCTGTCTTGGAACTCACTCTGTAGACCAGGTTGGCCTTGAACTAAGAGATCCACCCTCCTCTGACTCCTGAGTACCAGAGACAGATGCCAGAACTTAGCCGGTAAGCCACAGCCACATGGCCATACACAGATTAATAGAAATGGGTAAAATTAATATGTAAGAGTTAGCCAATAAGAAGCTACAGCGAATGGGCCAAGCAGTGATTTAATTAATATAGTTTCTGTGTGATTATTTCGGGTCTAAGCTAGCCAGGTGGCCGAGACCAACAAGCAGCCTTATCCTACACAGATAACTTCCTGTTGCTTATGAATCAAAATGTAAGCACTCTCAGCTCCTTCTCCAGCACCATGTTTGCCTGCATGATGCCTGTTTCCCACCATGATGATAATGGACTAAATCTCTGAACTGTAAGCGAGCCACCATAGTTAAATGTCTTCCTTTATAATAGTTGTTGTGGTTATGGTGCCTCTTCACAGCAATAGAAACCCAAAGATAGGAAGGTCTTCACATCCTAATTAATCTAATAAAGACAATTCCCCATAGACATGCCCACATACCAACCTAATCTATATACTTCCTCATTGAGACTCTCTTCCCCAGTTGTGGTTTGAATAAGAATTAAGAATGTCCCCAGAAGCACAGGAGTTGAACTCTTGGTCCCCCAATTGTTGGTTCTGTTTGGGGAGGTGGTGCAGCCTCATTGGAGGAAGTTGGTCAGTGGGGCTGGACTAGGAGAATTTGTGCCCTTACTCTACTTCTGGTTTGCTCTCAGCTTCATGTTTGTAGTGGAAGAGGTGATTTTTGTTTTCTGCTCTAGCTGCCTGTGGCCTTGCTTCCTCTCCCTCCTGCCCCACCCCTATTATGGACTCTCCCTGGGGAACTGTAAGCCCAAATAAACTCTCACTTCTATAACTTCCTTTGGTAATGGTATTGTATCATAGCAACAGAAAAATAGCTAATATACCAGGTGATTCTGGATGGTGTCAAATTGTCAAAAGTAAGTGTCATAACCTCCCTCCCCATCCCAGTCTTCCTTACCTATCACCCTAGAAACTAATATATGTGCACATATATTAGTTTATATATATAATACAATCTATAATGGATAGATAGATAGATAGATAGATAGATAGATAGATAGATAGATAGATAGATGGATAGATAGATTGTTTTTCAAAGCCAAGGCCTCACTATATAGTTCTGCTTACCTGGAACTCTCTATGTAGATCAGGCTGGCTTTGAACTCATAAACCCAGCTGCCTCTGTAGATGTTAGGTGACAGGGTTAAAGCTGTGCACCACCATATCAGGCCTAGACTTTCGCAATTTGTGATAAAGGCAACATCCATATGTTCCTAAATTTAGTCATTGAGGAGGGGAGTGAACCACCTCAACTCCTTCCCCCACTGATCTTCTTTAGTTTTCCATGCCAATAGTCCAGTGTCCCCTGGTGTCGTTTCACTCAGAGGATGGCCGCCCTGGCCCTCATTCAAGACCGTACTCTCATTTCCCAGCTTGTTGACTTCCTTAGCCTCATGACTCAAGGTTCTATCTAACGTTCCCCTTGCACCCTCTCCACGGAGCAGCTGCCAAGGATTTTTGGGCAGGATTTCTGATCATCCATGAGAGCTCTAGAACTGCAGCTTTCTAAACACAGGATGGCAGCTAGGTTAGCCGAGTGATATCGATTGGAATATGCACGTGGGCACCAGTGGAACCAGGCCTGAGTTTCGGTGCGAATGCCTTGCTATCTATTGATGCTGAGCAAACTGCTTAACGGCCAAGCAAAGCAAGCTTTGTAAGATCATGATGAAGCCAACACCCACCTGAGGGGAGTTGTTGTCTTAAGAGTCTCGTGGGCGCTGCTGTGATGCTCGGTGGGTATCTTAGGAATGAACTTCAAACCCCAATTTTGTTCTTTGAATACCCTCAGAAATCTGTGTGCCCCAAAAGAAGATGAACAAAACAGAGGCTTCTGGGAAAATGTAGCAAATCTAATGAACCGGGTGATTCTTGACATCTTAGCATGTCACAAAAGTAAAGAGAGAGGGAGAAAGCAGGAGGAAATTCTAGCCTGGATTGGCAGGGGCTGGTCTGCACTGTGCTGTAGACACTCTCTGTTGCATGGGCACAGCCCATGAGAACACAGTCCCATGCTTCCTGCCAGCAGCACGGTCTGGTTCGCTACAGCTGTGAGTCCGTTTCAGTCCAAAGGGCAGATTTAACAGGAAGCAAGTGTGCAATAGAGCACGCCGCCCTTGTGTATTCTCCGCTACCGGTTATGGTTTGAATCTGAAACATCCTCCACAGGCTTATGCTTTGAGCGCTTGGTCCCCAGCTTGTAAACCTCTTTTTCAAGAGCTGCGGAGCCATTAGGAGTTGGAACTTTGCCAATGGAGTAAGCCTTTGAAAGTTATACCTACCTTTGTTTCTGGCCTGTGTTCTCTGCGTCGTGCGCCACCACGGTATTACTTACTTACTGCTGCTGTGTTAAAACACCAGGACCAAAGTTTATGTTGGCTTATGGTTCCAGAGGGATAAAAGTTCATGGTGGCAAAGTGGAGGGGGTGATGGCCACAAGCAGCAGGCCAGGCAGCAGGAACAAGAAGCTGAGAGCAAGGAGAGAGAAAGAGAAAGAGAGAGGGATGGAGGGAGGGAGGGAGGGAGGGAGGAAGGGAGAGAGAGAAAGAAAGAGAGAGAGAGAGGGAGGGAGAGAGAGAGAAAGGGAAGGAGGGGGGAGAAAGCGGGAGAGCAAATTGGAAATAACTGGAGTCCTTAAATGCTCAAAGCCTGCCTCTAGTGATGTACTTCCTCCAAGACAAGCCCACAGCTCCTGAACCTCCTCAAGCTGTGCCACCCCATGGGGATTAAGTATTTAAATACACAGGCCTGGGAGGAGGCATTCTCATTGAGAACCCCCCAACCAGCATGTGAATATCACTTGGCTCACATTCCTATCACATCAACTTCACCAGGTCCTCTCCTCCCTTTGGAACCCTGAGCCCCAAAGGCTCTCTCCTGCTCTCAGTCATTTCTGCTGGGTATTTTGGTCACAGCAGCAACACAAAACAACCAGGACACCACCCAAAGAAAGGACACTCAATAGTGCTTGAAAAGACTCCGTGTTATATGTGGGGCTGCCCTTCTGAAGGGCCATCAGAATCACGGCACTGATCGTGCGGTGTATAGATGAACAAACAAGTTTGTCTTAAAGTGATTTTCAAGCCCTTCGCTGGCTTGCTGGTTGATCGGTAACATTTTCGTCAGAAAAATATTAGCACTGCCATTTTCTACATAGAAAAAAAATGCAAACATATGACTTAGATAAAAATAAGTAGAAAGTCACTAAAATCCATATGTAATTACTTATTAATAATCAAGGACATATGTGAAAGCAAAACATACACACTCTGATGACATTTGTAACTTGATTACAAAAGGAAGATAGTGAATTCTTCTCCACTGAAGGGACTTGAAACGATAAACCTTTCTGAAGGCAATTTGGCAATATAAACCGTTATTTTCCACACCATTTGGACACTAATTTCAAGACTATATCAAAGGTAGATAATGTAGATAATCAGATGTGTAGACATGTGTGTAAAGATTCTCATCAGAGTAGGTTTTATAAGGAACAGTAACCTAATCAATTGAACAAGTATGGAATGATGATGTATCAATATGGTGGATCACTTCTAAATGATGTTTGGGACACTGGTAATGGTCTGTGGAGATACAGGTTATAAAACTAGGCAAGCTCTTAGAAAATCTCAGTGTTGGCAGGAGGTGATGAGAGGCCAGGCTGGAGGGAAGAAGGTGAGCATGTTACAAAGGAGATGGTTTCCTACGGCAGAAGAAAGATATGTGGAACGTCACCGTTAGGTGTAGCGACCACTTAGGTTAGAGGTGGTCAGTCAGGACAAGAGATAACTCTTACAAAACTAAGCACACACACATACACACACGAATATCTGCAAGACTGTGAATACAGTCCCAGGAGTCTATTGGTATGGATTCTTGGTTGGGATATTTTACACAATTACAGAAGATGTTGCCACTGGAGAAAACTGAGGGAAGAGTTTATAAGATCACTCTGTATTGTGTCTTGGAATTACATGCAAATCCAGAACTATCTCCAAATAAAATGTTTCTTAAACAAAAAAAAAACCAAACATTTCATATAAAATGTTCTAAAGTAGGCACATAGAAACATAGATTTAAAAAAATTCCAAAAATCAACAAACTAGAAGATGGAGCTGTGACTGTAACTCAATGGTAGTATACTTGCCTGTCAAACATGGGACCCTGGGTTTGACCTCCACCAACAAGAAAAAAAGGAAACTAAAATTAGAGGAAGAAAAAGAAAAGTTAACAGTAGTTGTTGCTGGATAGTGGGACTACAGGTAATTCTATACTTGCATGTATTTCCAAACTTCTAAACTGACTGTGTAAATCTTTTATAATTGTGCTATGCGACCACTCTAGTGTGTTCATGCAGGGAACAGAGGGGGGCAAAATCCAAACAGGGGCTGCAAATTGAATTGGAGCTTAAAGGCCAGGCCAACTGTCTTAGTTACCGCGACCACAGCAACTCTTAGAAAGGAAAACATTTAACTGGGGTTGGCTTACAGTCGCAGAGGTTTAATCCATTATCATCCAGGTGGGAAGCATGGCAGTGTGCAGGCAGACATGGTGCTGGAGAAAGAGCTGAAAGTTTTACATCTGGATCCACAGGCAACAGGAAGTGAATTGAGTTGAGCTTCTGAGACCTCAAAGCCCACCCCCTCATGACACAGTTTCTCCAACAAAGCCACACCTCCTAATAGTACCACCCCCTACGGACCAAGTCTGCAAACGCCTGAGCCTAGGCCGTTGCTATCAAACCACCACACCAGCTATGCACAAGGACAGAGATACCTTCTCCTGGGTTTATAGGAGGAATACCTGCAGCAGACACAAGCGTTCCTCCTTTATTTTATTTTGAGACAGGCTCTTGCTAAACTGCCCAGACTGGACCCAAACTCTGAATCCCCCTGCCTCAGCCACCTGAGTGTCTGAGATTACAGATGTGCATCCACACATCTGGTGATGCAAGTTATTTCTAATGGACATCCCAGAGAGCTGTCCCACGGCCTCACTAGCCTAGAGGTTTTTTGCTACTCATTTTGAGATCTAGCAGAACTTCCTTGAATGATAAATATAATATTTATATAATATTATATTATATAATATTATATATAATATTATATAATAATATATCATTAAATATAAACCTTCTCCTGGGTTTATAGAAGAACAAATGGAGACACAGGAATGTCAGGCCAGAGGGCAAATAGCAGTGAGTGTGGCTGCTGGTAATCCTGAGAGAGTGACCATGCCCCTTCACCTGCACTCTCCTAGCTGGGCAGCAGCGCTCTCCAACAGTCTCGATCACATCATCTCCTATCCTAAGTCCGATCCTGTGTCCACAGTGAAGAAGAGCTGCAGCTGATAGCAGAGAGATGATGTTTAGATGCAGGAGCAGCCAGTGAAAACAGAGCTTCACCTTAGCCTAGTGCTTTTCCTTTAACGCAGGAGTAGGTTGTGGTATTTCCTGGAGAAATACTCTCCTCGAAAAACAGTTCAGAAGCCCCTTCCCTTAGGATCAAATCAAACAAATAACCCTTTCCAACCCTGCCCCTGTTGCTTCTATATTGGGAAGTACAATAGCCCTTGAGTCATATAATACTGGTAGAATATAAAATACCATAGTTGAAGATTTGAAATAGATAAATAGATGAATGTTTCCTAATGGGCTCCTCATTTCTTCCATCAAATATCCATAAAAGTGGCCTGCAAAGGTATCTCAGCAGGTAAGAGGCGCAGGCTGCTCTTCTGGAGAAGCTGAGTTTGGTTCCCAGCACCCACATCAGGCAACTTTCAGGGTTCCAGTGCCTCTGGCCTCCCTGCACACTCATGAACACAACCCCCCCAAAACACACACACTCACACCCAAAAATTATATATAAAAAAAGCTTTAAAAAAGTGTCAGATCTTGAAGTTATGGCAGTTGTGAGCTGCCATATGGGTTGTTGGGGATTGAACCTAGATTCTCTGGAAGAGCAGTCAGTGTTCTTAATTGCTGAGTCATCTCAACAGCCCCATAAACTAAATTTTTATTCTGTTTTGTTTTTCAAGATGAGGTTTCTCTGTGTAACAGTCCTAGCTGTCCCGGAACTAGCGCTGTAGACCAGGCTGTCCTTAAACTCACAGAGATTCACCTACCTCTGCTTGCGCCACCACTGCTGGGCTAAAGAGAAGAGGTAACCAACACGGCCCTCCAAAGAGCAACGTACCTGCATCTCTGCCAGGTGCCGGAGAGCAGAAATTTTTTAAAGCAAATTTTTGTCAAATTCAGTAAGTCAAGAACTTTCTTTTAGAAAAAAACATCTCTCCCAATGTCAGCGTCGCTATAGAAACACACACAAGCACATCCAAAGAGGACTAGAGGCCCAAACAGAGTGGTTCTCACATAGTTTATACTGTGTTATAACTCAGGGGAAGAACGCATGTTCGTCATACACATGACCCTGGGTTCAAGTTTCACTCATCAGCCAGCAGTAGTGGAGGAGGGGCAGAATGTCAAAACCACACACAGCCAACCTTAACTAATTACAAAACAAGTAATTAAGAGGTCAAACACTGGGGGCTCAAAAAAAAAAACCTGAAATTTAGTGTTCTAGACAAGTACATATTCACAGAAACTTATAAGAGTGCCCAAGAAATCTAATATATTTGTTTGAAGACACGAAATGTGAAACCAGGAGAAAAGAGACTTGACCCAAATGAATTTGGAAGCTATTGCTTCAGGGCCTACGCCAGCATGCTGGGCAAGCTCACAGAGGCTCCTGAGACAGGTTCCTCGGCTTGCCATTTGTGTGACTGGAAGATTTCTGGGATTTCAGATCTGTATTCCAGGGTTGCGCTTGCCGGGAAGCCAAAGCATGGCTCATTTCTTAGCCTGGTCAAGGTTCTTGCTGCTTCACTTGGTCTATTCCGCTGATCTACTCAGAGATAGGATGCTGGGAGCTTGCCGCCTTCCTGGGCATGTGCTCCTGAACACTGATGGATGTGAGAGGAGATTGCTTCAATGTCTGATACCTCACTGGTCACCGGGTGAATTAGCAGAACCCTGACAGGTAAAAGAGTTTGTTAGTAGAACTGGGTTTGGATTTTGCTTTTGGTTTTTAATCTATGTTTCTCCTTTTCTCACTTCTAAAAAAATAAACAAATGAACAAAACCTTGGGTAAAAAGAAGAAAGGCTTTGTGGAGGAGGTCTCATTCATAACCACCCTGCATGCCTGTCTCCCGCCTCTGGGCCTAATGGTTTGAAAGTGTGGAGTCCAACGATTCCTTCCCTTGGGGCCTTTGAAATAACTATAATTAGCCCTTCTATGGGCATGGGGATACAACAGTAACACACACAGAAGTCATAACCTGTCTGGAGGTCTGTCTCTGCACCAAAGACCGCGAGTCCCTTGAGCACAGTTTCCTGCTAGCCTCCTCCATAAAGATGACTGTACATTGGTCACCACAGCTACCAACCAAGAAGAAGCCTCCGGTTCTGACAGACCTTCAGCCAACAAGTGTCTGCGGTTCCTCTGTGAGTGCTGCCTGAAGGAACACCAATCCGTGTCAGGGAGGAGATAAGGACTTGAGACTGGATAAAAGGTGGCCAAAAAATGGAGAGTGGGCCCAATGGAGACACTCACAGGTTACTAGTGATGGAGGTGTGTAAGTCAGCTTGTCTCTCACAACTCCCCTATGCCACTTTAGGCACAGCGACATTCCTAGCCTGCCCAGACACTCACCGGCAATACAGTGCTCTGCTCCACAACAACACACTAGTACCTGGATAGCCATCATGATGGTGATATTTCTACCACGGAAAATCAGCAAACTAGTGGTGGTGGGGCATGAGGAGGCAGCACTGGGGAGGCAGAGTTTGAGGACAGCCTGGTCTACAGGGCGAGTTCCAGGAGAACCAAGGCTACAGAGAAACCCTGTCTCGAAAAACAAAAAAAGAATCAGTAAAATCAGAGCCCTCACCTCTCGGTTGAATATCCCAGCACACGGTAACACCTGCACACATGGGGCTCATGACCTTGTCACGCTGAGAAGGATGCCGAGTGTCACGTCCCACCCCCTCCAGCTGCTGAGTTTGCACAAATCCCTCTCCAGGAATTGCCTTAAGCTCCAAGGAACAGTCTCAGCCAGGTCTGCTCCCTTGCCTGGGGCAACATCCTTACCAACCAGTCAGCTCGGGGGTGGGACGGTAAGATGAATTCCAAGGAAGACAACTTTCACACACACACACACACACACACACACACACACACACACACACACTCCCACCCTGCCCAGTAAAGGGAATTTTGGCTGGTTCTCGTATTTTGCAAGCAGCATTCCCTTCTGGCGCCCACGGTTGGAAGGGAAAGAGGGGAGATGTTCTGACACAATCTCCTCTTCCTTTGTGGTTTTGTTCCCGTGCTGTAGAAGGTTGCATGAGCTTCTTCTCACACCTGCTGTTCAACAATGTCCTGAATGAGTTTGAGGACTTGGCTTTCAGCTCTGGGGATCCTACGAGCTCTTTCGAGTCTCAGGCCCGGTCTGCGTGGTGATCCTAGAATCCAGGAGACTGGTGCAGAAGGTTGGAGGTCAGCCTGGGCCACAGGGTGAATTCAAGGTCAGCTTGGATTGTAGACTCAACACTAAACACGCAAATATCAGGCGCAAGTCAGGGAGATTATCTTCCCTACTTTGTTTAATTATTCCCTCTTAACCTGCTCATTTATCTTTTTCTTCCACAGCTCCGTATTGGCGTCTTCGGTACCCTAGAGCCAGTTCCCTGGCTTTGGTCTCTCGAGTTCTATCTCTTTGCACGTGGTTCCTATGTTTCGGATGCTTTTGCATTTGATTTTCCAACCACTTCTTTTAACTCATCCAATGCATTATTTTCATTCATTTCTCACTTGAGTTCTAGGATGCTTTTTATTTATTTGTTTATTTTTTCTTAAATAAGCTTTCTCTGTTAGCTCTGACTGTCCTGAAACTCGCTCTGCAGATCAGGCTGGCCTCGAACTCACAGAGATCCTCCTGCCTCTGCCTCCAGAGCACTGGGATTAAAGGTGTGTGCCACCATTGCCTGGTATGTTGTTCTCTTGCAATTTTCTCTTCTTTCTTGCTGGCCTGATGAGTCCCATAGAGGCACCACTGCCCTCTGCAGCTCAGCCCCTGAGGTTCCATAGCCATGAAAACCTTGCCAGAATAGAAAGATGTCTTAGTCACTTTTCTACTCTTGTAATAAAAGGCCATAACCAAGCCAACGCTTTTTGTTGTTTGTTTGTTTTTTTTAAAGTTTTTGGGTTTATTTTTATTATTTTATGAGTGTTTGCCTGCTTGTTCATCTGTGCGCCACATGTGTGCATGACACCCAGGGAGATTGCCAGCCTCCATGTGACTGCTGGCAGTCGAACCCGTGTCTTTCACCATAGCAAGGGCCTCTAAGCACGGAGCAAACCCTCCAGCCCCTAAGAGCAAGACAACTTAGAAGAGAAAGCATTTGACTAGGCTTATGGTTTCAGAGGGTTAGAGCCCATGATGGCTGAGCCAAGGCAGGGCAGCAAGAGCGGTTGAAAGCTCACACCCTGATGCACAAACAGGTGGCCGAGAGCCCACTGGGGATGGTGAGAGTCTATTAAAACTCAGTGCGCATCCATGGTGACACAGAGGGGATTCCTTCAGGAGCCTCCAGGTCAGCAGCATACAGGGCCCCTCCAGTCCCAGCCGAGACATCAGGATGAGGGGCTCCCCCGACTCTCCACATTCAGCTTCTCTGCTGAGTTGGGGAGGGCCGTCCAGCACAGATGCTGACTGTCCTTTACTCTAGGGTCATGAATGTGAAGGGGCCATGCACAGACCTCACCACAGTGAGCATCAGCCCTAAGCTTGCCAGGCACTGGTACCCAGGGAAGAAAGCCCTACTCCACAGCTCCATTAAAGCCCGGATAGCCTTCTGTACCAGTATAAATATTAAATGCTCCGCTCCCCTGGGCTCATGTGTTGAATGCTTAGTCCCCAGCTGGTGGCACTGTTTTGGGAGCTGGGAGAAGCGAATCTGCCTTTGACTGTCATGCGTAGACCTTGGTCCCATTCTTTCACTCTTCTTCCTGTCTGCCATGAAGTGAGCAGGCTCTGCCGCACACTGCACACTGCCAAGATGCACTGCCTCATCACAGGCCCAGACCCAACACACCCAGAAGCTATGGACTGGAACCTCTGTATCTTGGAACGAAAATTCATCTCCTGCTCTTCAATTTTTCAGTCAGGTGTCTTGTCATAGCCACAAAGCTCCAACACACTCTCCCTTCTCCGGGATCTGCTGCCATCCTTCCACCAGGAGGGCTAACTATCAGGCTCAAGCCGAGAATGAAGGCAGCAAATCTTCTAAGCTAACAAAACCTAGATACCCCACAATACGTCTTTCACTGTAAAGAGCATGCTTAATCGGCTCACCCTGGCTGGTTCCTCATTCGCAACTGACATGATTTAACTTCCGTTCTCCTCTGATGTCTTGGGAGAAAAGTCTTTAGAGAAATATCCTGGGCTCATTGGATTTACTTTAAAATTGTGTTTATGGGCCAGTAAGATGGCTGAGTGGGTAAAGGGGTGTGCCTCCAAGCCTGACAACCTTAGTTGGTACTTTAGGGTTGACATGGCCAAAGGAAAGAACCAACTCCTACAATTGTTCTCTGACCTCTACATGCATGTTGTGCTATGGTTGTACATGTAAGATGCATGCGCACACACACATACACACATATATAGATGTATGTATGTAATTAAAAATCAAAATTGTGTTTATAAGGATAGTAAGTGGTTTAAAAGGCAGTATGTACAGATATATTATGTGTGTATGTCTCCCACATCTACAGGCATATTAGAAAAAAACTATAAAATATTTGTAAGGATCAACATCACACTACTACCACTGGATGCTAGGTTATAAACTTACCTCTCTTTTTCTTGTCTACATCATCTAATACTTACTGATGAAAGACGAAAGAGTTATTCCGTCCCGTTGTTCACTCAGGGAAACACATTAGGCATAGACACGTGACTCTCATAGGAGTTTTCAGAGAACAGAATGGAGGAGACGGTAAGGGCAGAGCTTAGCCTCATCTTCTCAGTGGCCTTGCAGGCTTCTCGTAACCTGTGAAGGCCAACGAGAACCAGAGACAGATACTTCTTACCCAGAGTCACTCACAGTGGACCCCATCCAGGATGGACCAGGGTCTAGAACAAAATTTGAAGGCAATGATCATCAGCCCAGGTCCCTAGGTCTCCTCCCATTATCCCATGAGAGCACAAGCTCCCTGTACCCTCTCAGAACAGAATCACGTCCTGTCCATATGGACTGCAGCACCAGGTCTGTTGCCTAGCACTTGGGAGCTGGTCAACAAATGCTGGTTGGCTAAATTTATTCTTTGTTCACTGGACAATACAGTGTGCGATATAGACGGCCCAGCTGTGCTATGGCTGACCTTGGACTTACAATTTGATCCAGACTGGAGACTGAAGTTCAAGTTGTACAAGATCTCCGCTCAACAGAAGGGCTCACATCTGACGCTCTTTAGGAGGTCTTGGGCCCTGCTGGTTCACACAGCAGTTTTTTTAAGGAGCTATGCCCCATGGCAAAGGGTGTGGCCCAGAAGGAATTGCCAGTCTCCTGAAAGAAAGGTCTGTGCTGGCTATAAAAGAGTTCAGGGTGTTGCGAGCATCTTTCTGATTCCAACTGTAAGGCAACCTCGGTTGGGCAACATTATGTAAATTTTTCTGTTTCTTTCCAAGTGTTCCTCTGCCCTGAGGTCATCTCTGGGCCTGTTAAAGCTCCCCTTCAAGGTTGCCAAGTATGATTCAAGGGAAAGATTGGGTGTGTTCTTGCAGCGCTCCTCAAGAAAGCCTATAGGTGCTGAGGGATTGGTGCAAGACAGTCTTGGCACCTGTGTCCCTGATCTGTCCCACGGGCGTCTGGAAGACCCAGCCCCAGGAGAACATGCTTGCAGGATGGGTGATATTTAAAGGGCCAGCAAGCAATTCTGCAGAGGTACTGCTGTCTCAAGAGGAATGTGGCATTAGAGACACAGTATAGGGCTGGGTGTGTAGGCACTCTGTATCTGCTGATTGGATCGTGAGCATGTCTGGGGAAACCGTTTGGGGCAGCAGGTCAGCTCTCAGGGAAGCTGAGAGCCATAGTTCCTTAACAATGGGTACAGAAGGGTTGCAGTTTAAGAACCAGAGTGACCACAGCAGCACATACCAGCCAGAGCATAGCTCCAGCCTGAAACCACTTCTGAGCCAAGCTACCCCTCTGGCAGAAGCTGTAACCCCATTGCTGCAAGCCATGTTTTATGGAGTTCTTTTATTAGTCTCCCATGTAACCCATAGCCACATCATAAAATTAAATACCCCATTCTGTACATCAAGTCCACTGACTTCTTGAGCCCTGATTAACACTGGGCTTTTCCTGCTGGGATTGTATTACAGTAACGGTATAACTGGCAGCAGAGAGGCCTTCACTGGGAGCAGTCAAATCCTTCGGGCTCACAGGCTTATTCTCAAACCACAGTGTGTCACGGGTGTGGCCTCTTTCTCTGAAGTCTTTTTGGCAGCTTCCCATTAATCTCTGTATCTTTCATTCCCCGATCCCCACTTCTCCTTCCATGAGACCTCTCAAGTTGCCGGAGAGTCCCCTAGTACTTGTCTAGAGTCACAGGTCAGGGTAGCCCCAACTCACCCCCGAGAATAAATTTAGCCTGTGGGTGATATCCCAGATGGAGAGGTTATCTTTAGCCTGGCAGGGGTGGGGAGTCAGCCCAGGCCACGACACAAACAGCAGAGGGAGGAGGGAAGAGGGAGGAAGCCAGTCCCCTCACCCCCAGACTACAATATAGCATTCAAGTGTGCTAGGGTGACAGAGGACGAAATGTCACCGCACACTTTCCAAAACACGAGGAACACCGGGGAATAATGGTCTGTTTCTTTCCATCCTGTGAACCAAGAAGAATTTTAACACATCCTTTAAAAAGGGCAACAAGGCAGCGTGATGTCCATCCTTCCGCATTCATATCTGTTCACTGCTTGTTCATTAGTTCGGTTGTCTGCAGGTGGAAAAGTTTAAGACAGGTAAAATGTGTGTGTGGCAGAGGGGGAACTACACGGAACTGCTATGTAGCGTGAACTAAGGACAGGACCAAGAGCTTTCTCTTGTAAAACTGGGCTTCCTCAGTTCGCTCCAGCAGTTCCAAGGACAAGACTCTAGATTTCACCCAAGGAAGACACTAAATTAATACCTTGCCTCATTATCGCGCTGATATAAGAAACTCTTTGCCAGGTCAGGGGGCACAAGTCTATAACCCCGGCTACTTGGGAGCCGGACATGGAGGAGAACAAGTTCAGGCCTGTCTGGGCTACAGAGTGAGTTCAAAGCCAACCTGGTGGATCCTGGTGTCAAAAACAAAGGGACAGAAATGAAGAAGGAGGGAGAAGGGATATAGCTCAGTGCCCAGCAGGCATGAGACCTTAGGTTCAATCTCTGCAGCTATTCCAAAGAAAAGACAAATACAGGGAGGAAGGGAAGACGGAGGGGGAAAAGGAAGGAGGGGGGAAGGGAGGAGAGAAAGCCTTTTTCATTGGCTAAAATCCTTCCCTGTTACAGTCTGGACCCAGAGCCTCCCGTTTGACCTTCGTCGTGGAATAACTCATTAGAATCAATTGTCAAAATATCTGAACACTTGCTGGTTATTATTAGGGCAAATCTAGAGCCTCGGCTGAACCTGAGCTGGGTTCTGACATGTCTGAGCATGTCTGACAGCTGTGTGCGGAGCCCTGGTCTCCTGGGAAGCAGCCTGTGCTGTGGGGCAGGAGACAGAAGCCCTAGTTAATCCAGGAAGACAGCTTTAGAAGCTGGGGAAGAACAATTTTTTTGAATATCTTTTGTTCACACAGGTTTTGGACTTCTGAGTCCCATTGGGGAGCAATGAAACCACGGGAAAGAACTGGAAAGACTGCTTAGTGAGGTCTTTTTTTTTTTTTTTTTTTGACAGAGTTTCTCTGTGATTTCTGACCTGTCCTGGAACTCATTCTGTAGACCAGGCTGGCCTCAAACTCACAGAAATCCACCTGCCTCTGCCTCCTGAGCGCTGGGATTAAAGGCGTGCAAGTGAGGTCTTGTGTGAAGCACAGTGTGGAGGGGTAGTGCTGGGAGCTCAGATACTGGACTATCACACAATAGGGAAAAAGACAGAGTCCCCGAATGGCTGGACAGCCTCATAGGAGCAGGTCCCTGGGGATACTGGGGAAAACTGGACCTAGCCAGCCTTCGCTCTAGGAAGACTGTGGGGTAGAGTACCCTCTAGAAGGTCCTTGAGGACCTAAGTGGACTGATCTCAGTTTGCTTCTCTGATATAGCAGAGTAACCACAGAACATTTATAAACACTTCAGTGAGCATCGCCATCAGTTATCTTCCTGGGAGTCATCCTGACAGCCTATTGGCCCTCACTAAAATGGTTTAACAGTATCCATCCACCTTGTGGCCAACTGTGGTTCCTTGGATCTTTCTTTGACTGTCCTTTTCTTCATACCTGCCTTGTCTAGGTGGTACAGGAGCGGTTCAGAGCATAGTCATCCACACAGTCTTAACCCTTAGCATTATTCAGAATATGTAAGACTAGTTCTATAATTTTCGTTTCCAGAACACCAGGAAATCGTCACGTAAACATTGCCTACAAATGCGTTAGCTTCATAATAACCTTTTGAGATTATTATATATAAATATATATAGATAAAAATGCAAAATATTATATATATGCATATCAAATCTTCAAAAAAGAGATTATTATTAGAGAGAGAGAGAGAGGCAATAAGGGGTATATGACATAGCCTACGTTTGCCTCAAACTCACTATGTAGCTGAGGATGACCTTGAATTTCCAACCAACTCTCTGCCTCTATCTCCTGAGGGCTAGTGTGAGAGGTGTGTGTCGCTGTGCCTGGTTTTACAAGGACCTGGAAATCGAACCTAGGACTTCTCTCCTGCTAGGAAAATACTCTATAAACTAAGCTCCATTCCCAACTCTGAAAAAGTCTTCAATGATGACTGTACCTTGGCTACTTTGAAGGGAGATGACTAATTTAGTTGTACATGATTGGGAGTAGAATTTTCTTTGTATACCTCTTTGACTCTTTTTTTTTTAAAGCATGGTTTTACTCTGTAGCCTTTGCTGACCCAGAACTTGCAATGCAGACTAATCAAGCCGTCCTTGAACTCATAGAGAACACAGAGGTCTGCCCCTGCCTCCCAAGTGTTAGAATTATTTTAACTTTATTTTATTTCATTTATGGTTTGACTCCTATCAAATCAAAACTTAGTTTTTTATGAATCTTTTCTCTGCATGTATGTCTGTATGCCTGGTTCATGCTTGATGCCCACAGAGGCCAAAAGAGGGTATCAAGATGTCTTAGAAATGGAGTTACAGACAATTATGAGCTACCACGTGGATGCTGGTAATTCATTCCCCAGTCCTCTAGGAGAACAGTCACTGCTCTGAACTGCTGAGCCATCTCTCCAGCCTCTCATTCTACTTTTAAAAGTATAGTTATATACTATTTTTCCAATTAATCTTCTAAAAAAAATCTAGTTTAGAAAAAAAATTCAAAACAAAGAACAAAACAAAACCCCTTAGCGATGGACCCGGAAGGTGCCCACCGCTGGTGCTATACCCTGTAGAGTCAAATGTCCAACATTCCCTGGCTCCATGGAATGCTTTGCTGCATTCAAGGTGGATTGCACAATGACTGGCCTGGCTCAGAGCCCTCACAACACTCTCCCCCATAACTAGGGCAACATGACTTCCGTTTGTTGACTCGTCGCTAGGTCCAGGCCCCGCGACTAATCCTGCTTCAGGTCTGGAGGGATTTTTAAGGGCTAGCAGCTTGGGTTACTTAGCCTCAGCCAGCCTGGTTGCTAGGCCTGTTCTACTCTTTGTGTTCTCTTGGCAGAGCCGTCCAGGTTTTCCCAGGTGGGAACACACATGGCTGTTTTGAGGCTGCCTGCTTTTGGAATTCATGAAGGGATAATAAATAAGATTTCTTTGAGATGAGAAGCCCCCCTCTCCCACCACCACCACACATGTCCCTATGTGTTCACCACAGTTACCATGCATCTCTTGTGTGCACAATAGCAAACCCAGTCTGGGGTAGAAGGAAGTGGGAAGAAAAGGATTAGGACAGGGTAGACTAGCAACACAGGCAGGTGGAGTCCAACCCCACAGGACTCTCGGGCAGAGAGGCAGGCTTGGCATGAGAGAGGTAAAAGGAAGGACTGACTTTAGTCTCCGTCAGAGGGAGAAGGAGTGGGTCTAGGAGGGTGAGGAGGAGATCGGGTTGTTGCTAGATGGTTGAGGTGGTGGGATTTCAGTGAGCAGGATGTTCCAGATCAAGGAAGTAGGCTGTGATGGCCCTTCTGCCCTCCTACTCCTTGGAGAAGTGGAAGGTGAACGAGCTGGCCCTGAGAGCCAGTGCTGTGCAGGGTTTGCTCTGTTTGAAACTCCTACCTTCCTACCACTGTGTCTCGTGAACATCTACTTGTGTTTGTTAGAAATACCAAAACGAAAAACACTCATCACACACAACAACAACAAAATATTAAGGAAGCAAAGGTTTGTTTTTAGCTCATGGTTTGAAGGAATATCATCACAGCAAGGAAGGCATGACTCCCAGAGGGCAAGGCAGCAGGTGGCCTTGCACCTCCATCTCTCCTGCAAGAAACAGAGAACCAGAGAACGGTAGGACTTAGTTTACTTCCTCCTTCTTATTTAGTCCAGGCCCCAGCCTATAGGATGCTCATGTGATGCTCACATTCAGCGGTCTTCCTTCCTGAGTTGTCTCCCTGGAAACATCCCCACAAGTCACAGCCATCGTATCTCATGGGTGATTCTAAACCAGTCACAGGACAGTGAAGGCATGCCACCCTTTTCAAGACCATGACACCTCGGTGACCTTCCCAGGCATGATGGCAGTCCCATCCACTGCATTTTCTCTGTGCTAGAGAGGCCCGGAAATTCAGAAGTTAGGTTGAGTGGACTCTGCTACTATTTGCTGAAGTTCAGGTTACTTTTTTGTTTGTTGTACTAAGGGATCAAACCCTGAGCCAGGACTCTACCACTGAGCCACATCCCGTCTCTAAGGTCCAACTTAAGTTCAGCGGCTGCCTTTCTGAGTCATCTTATATCACTTGTTGAAATGTTCTGACTAGGAATGGCACCTCCCTGAGGTCACCATAGATTAAGCAAGTCAGTGAGGATAATGCAATCGTCAGACTCAGAGCCTGCTTTGGGGCCTTATAACCCTAGGCTGTGGTTACTCTGTAATCCACCCTCTGTGACTTTGAGAGGGGCCAGACCGGAGCTAGTAATCCTGAATTTATCTCTGCAAGCGATTAAAGGCGTTCTCACTGTAGAGTCTAGAGTCTTCGGACAGGGATGGGCCCCAAAGGCATCAGGAAAAGAACCGGTGGGTGGAAAAGTAAACCCACGGGATCAGAGTTGCTGCATTCAGAGGACAAATGGCGCCTGAGTCCCGGTCCAAGTCTTCAGCTGGGATCTGGGCACTGGATTTCCAGGCTGCCCTGCGCCCGCCCCGTGCCGGGTCACAGCGCGGACCTCCCACCCACGCGGGCCAGCAGCCGGCCTGGCTGGGCGCGGCAGGAAGGAGAGCCAGCTCCCAGCACCCTGATCCTTAACTGCCGCTTCCAAAGCCCCGGCTGATCCTAATCAGTGTGGGAAAGGAGCGCCCGGGCCCAACCCGCCGCCGGAGACGCCGCCTCTTTTCATAAACTTTATCGCCCTGGTGCACAGCCCCTGATAAAGCACCATAAATAAACGAGCAGGCCCGAGTGTGCGGCTGGCCGGAGGCTGCCGGAGCGCACGCCCTACCTCGGCCCGCTGCTCCCGGGGGGTGGGGGTGGGGGAAATGAATCATGTGCCAAGCTCAAGAAGGATCGAGCTCTTCTGCAAGCTCCCCCTCCCCCCCTTCTGCAAGCGCAACGCTATAAATAAGAATGCAAGCCTTCTTTTCTTGGCAGCATCCAGAAGGGCTAGGAGTTTCCTTGTGGCTGCCGGCCACCCTTCTGGCCTGGGAGCTAGGAGTGTTCTTGCTTACCCTCCTGCTTCAGGTCAAGTTCCTTGGGCCTGGGTTGGGCCTGGGCATGTGGCTCCATTATCACAAATTCCTCTGGCTCTTGCACAACACCCAGGCTGGAGCCGGGAAGGGAGGGGCAAGGGAAGGCTTGAAGGTCTCCAGTGGCAGGTGATCAGGAGAACTCTGGTCCACTAGAGCGGCCGTGGACCCTTCTGCCTGGCTAGCCTGTCACAGTCACCTCACAGCAGAAGCCCCGGGGTGCCAGGTAGGCCTGTGCTCAGTTGACCCAAACGAAGGGAGGATGAAGGCTCTGAGGGAAAAGGAAGGGAGGCATCCTTCACCTCATCCCCCTCCCCAACCACTACCACCACCAGGAGAGTGTGCTCAAAATCCCCTGAGGAGTTCTCAACATCTTTCATTCGGACCTTAGAAATATTTTTTTTATTTTAAATTATGTATATGTCTTTGTGTCTGTGCGCCCATATGTGTATGTGGTAAAGGCGTCCCAGGCTAGAGCATCAGCTCCCCTGGCGCTGGAGTTAGAGATGGTGATGAGCTGCCTCTACAGGTGCTAGGAATCAGACTCGAGTCCTCTGCGGGAGCAGTGTGAGCTCTCCAGCCCTCAGTCTTGAACACCCCAACCCCGACCCCTTGGGAGATCTTTACATTAACCAACAGCCCAATTTAAAGACAAGCGTGTGATCTACATCAGGAGCATGAGGACATCTCGAAAGACAGGTGTGGCACACCCCAGGGCACCAGCTTGGCGCTAAGGCCCAGCTTCCTGTCTTGGTAGTCCAGCTGCGGCCACCTGGCTTCCGTGGCCTCCCAGCCTTTGCCTCTCCAGGGCCGCAGTCTCCGCGTGCACTCGCGCGCGCACACGTCTAACGCTCTCTAAGAGCCCCCCTCCCCACTCCCCCAGCTTGCCTACTCTCTGGAAAGCACTCTCCTCCTTATAAACGCCTCCATTTCTGGACTGTCTCACCGCAAGTCACTCTGGTGAAACACTGTTGTGCCTAATTGAAAGAAGCCAGAGCCGGGAGAGTTTCCATCACTGACCCTTGCTTGCTTCATGAGGCGAACACAAAGACGGTCCCTCACAGGAACCACCCGGGTGGAGGGCACTGCAGTCTGGATGAAGTCATCCTGTAAGGGGGGGAAAGGAGCTACAAAATAAAACCCAATAAACTCTAACAGCACCAACTCAGCACTTCTCTGGCCGAAAATATAAGGGCCATTGTGGCAAATGGCTCTGCTTTTTATGGGAGGGAGGGACCAATTGGCTAGAAACCTCTCTTCCAGAGAGTGTAAATGCTGCCTTGTGGGGGAGGGGGGCAAAGTTGAGAGGAAAGGATTCTCGGCTGGCAGTTCTACAGAGAACACAACCTAAGTGTCCTCATGAGATTCTCTGGTTGACGCTGGGAGTGTGGGTTGGGTGCCAATCCCGCTAGCCATGGCTGGGGAGAGAAGCTGAGTGAAGACAGCCGTGAACAAAGGCCTGGTTCTTCCAGAGACCCCTTGCGACACTGTATGTCCCTGGGAACATGCGGCCCCAGACAGCCTTCATTTCCTGCTCTCTGGACAGAAGGGCACTCAGTCTTGTTTCCTTCATTTGCATAATGTCAAAAAATGAGTCACATTGTACTGTCATTTGTTGAGAAATATTGGCAAGAGGTTCCAATTGTGGTTGGAGTCGAGTCCTTAAAAGGGTGCAAGCATGGTGCCTGATTCGGTCACTGACTTCTTACCTGGACACGGCCACTGTCTCGGCCTCAGTTTCCCTGTCTGCACAGCCTGAAGATTTTAGAGCTGTCTTCCTAGAGCTCTAAAATTACAGCAGCTCCATTGTACATGGGGGGTATTTGAGGCAAAACAAGATTTTCAACTTTGCAGAACAAAGTTCGGAAAGGGAAACATGTAGACATGTCTCCTCCAAACACTGTTCTTAGCTCCAATTCTGTCCACTATTATAAAGGTTGGAAACCAGAGAAGACACATCGAAATGCAGGCTTAGACATCAAAAAGGGCCCACTTGCTGCGTTAGCCTTTTCAGCACTGTGATAAAAGTGCTTGACAGGAACCATTTAAAAGGAGGAAAACGTTTGTCTTGTTTTGGACAGGTTGTTTTGTTTGGGGCTCATGGATTCTGAGATTTCAGACCACGGTCAGCTGGCTGCCTTGCTATGAGCTCATGGCAAGGCAGAGGCATCATGGCTGAAAGCCACCGTGAAGGAAAGACTGCTCAGGTAATGGCCATCAGGAAGCAAAGAGAAACAGGAAGGGTTATGGAAACAGACTGTCTTTCTGGGGTGCATGTTTCCTCCAACAAGGCTATATCTCCCAATAACGCCATCATAGTAGAAATCCATCAAAGGATTAATCCACCAATTTGGTTAGAGCCCTTAGGATCCAATAAATTTCTCAAATGACGAGGGCCACCAAACTGGGTACCAAGATTTCCACACCTAAGCCTCTGGGAGATATATATGTTTGTGTGTTTATCTCCAAACCATGATACTTACTACCAATGTACAAGAGTAGATTCTCTACCATAGTGGTTCTGACTCATTGGTAGGCACAGAATTCTGCAGAATGTAAGGAAAATCACACCCACCCTGCACCTGTGAACAAATCATTTACCTGCCTTTGCAGATGGCCTCGGGAATCCCCAGTCACGCTCTCTAGGGGACCTTGCTAAGAATTTCTGCTCTGGAGGACAACAAAATGCTGAGCCTGTGTTTTCCTAATCTGTAAAGAGGAAATACCACTGTCCCCCAACCAGGCTTCACAGTGCGGGGGGGGGGGTGATAAATCGGTCTTTGCCATTAGAACCCATTGGTTCTCTGCCTAGCAGGCATCATTTAATATTAATGTGGTCCTATTATCATCGTCTAACACAATCATTCCCTATTCTGCTATGTGGGATGTAAATTCCTTTAAGACAGAAGCAGTCCTGCCTGTGAAATTCCCGTAGCAAACCCTTCTGGTAAGCCAGCACTGTACGATTTCATACTGGCCTGCTAGAAACATAATGAGTCCCCACGGAGACCGAAGGGAAGGCAGGAGGCAGCTCGGCAGGCTCTCAGAAGGTAATAATTGCTGGGGCAGGAATGCGCCAAACGATACCCCTGTGGCTTTAAAAGGCAATGTAACTTTCCCAAGCATCCTCCTGTCTCCCAGAGTAGATGGTAATAGGGGAGAAATTAGCTCACCGACAGAAAGCAAGATTCAGGGGAAAGCTTTGGGTGGAGTTGTATTAAATAGTGTCAGTCCATTTGGCACAAGGAACCGCATACCTCAGTTCTGGTATCAACAGTTAAATGAAGAGGTCCGGTTAGACACCCTGGTCCTTAATCTCCCTGGGCTCATAAAGCCTTTGGGACCCCAACATAAGCTGTGGTTCCTGGCTCCAGAAGGTACACAGGTGCTGGACACGAAAATGACGTCATTTTTCCTGCAATTTAGGGACTTCACAGGGTCCTTTGTTGTGGACCCATAGAGCCAAAGAGACTGAACTTACCTCTCTCCAGAGCCCCTTCTGCTTAATTGGCCTCAAGCAATTGAGAGGCCTTGACTACTCGGCAAAGTCTCTGTTAAGTCAATGAAGAAGTCAAGTGTTCTTCCCATGGGCTCTGTCGACAAGACGGATTTAGACAGTCAGTTGAGGCTCTGTTTGGAGAGCAGCACCCCCCCCCCCAAAGCAGTTCTGTAGGTTGGCAGCATGAAACTGAGTTGTTTTCTTTCCTGAGATGAGGGGGAAGAGGGAGCATGGGAGGCCTCAAAAGTGAGAGGAGAAAGCCAGGGGTATGGCCAAAACGTGCAGACACTGCAGTACTTGAAACTTGCCTGAGACACCTGGGAGAAGAAGCAGAAGGGGAGCCAGACAGTATCTCAGCAGGTAGGCAAGCTCTGCCTGCAGCCCCTGTGCAGGTTTTACTGAGAGTTTGTGATGGTTTGTTAGTTTTGTCAACTTGGCACAAACTAGAGTCCTCTGAGAAAGAGTCTCAAGGGACAAAATTCCCCATTAGATTGGCCTGTGGGACATTTTCTTGACGGATGATTGACGTGGGAGAGCCCAGCCCACCGTGGGCAGTACCAATCCAGGGCAGTGGTCCCGAGGTGTGTAAAAAACCAAACTGAGCAAACCATGAGGAGGAAGTCAGTAAGCAGCGCTCCGTTCCCCCATGGCTTCTGGACCAGCTCTGGTCTCCAGGCTCCTGCCCTGACTTCCCGCATTGAGAGAGGAGAGGTGGTAAATTGTAAAGTGAAATAAACCCTTTCCTTCCCAACTTGCTTTTGATCGCGGTGTTTTTGCAGCAACAGAAACCTAAGACAGAGCCCTTCTTGCTGCCCCGAGGTTGGCCTGACCCCAGCTCCTTGTCTCTATCAGCCAGATGGTACAATGCAGGAGACCTAGAGCGGTGCTGCTGTCGTGAGCCTGGGAGGGCCTCAGTCAAGAAAGCCTTCTCAGCGCTGTGAACCTTGGGATCTGGAGACGTCTTTGTTACCGCAGCAGAGCCAAACCTAACTTACTAATACAGTGGGTGTTCAGAGCTGTCTACACTAACTTGTAGAGTCACAGATTCTAGGATGAGCAAAAGTCAGCAGGGTCACGTGGACTCTTCCTACACCTGCTTGAAACCTCATCTCTTGATGATGCTGTTCATGGAGGGCCCTCTAGCCACTATCACCTGGGTTTCCTACAGCTCAGGGAAGGCCAATGGGCCCATTAGTCATGTCACCTGGAGTGGATTAAATAGTGGCCTCTCAAGAGACATGTCCAAGTACGTACAGGTAGACTTTTATTTGGAAAGGGGTACTTGGATACGTAATTAAATAAGGCGATATCCATGAGATCTTCCTGCATCACTAGATGCAGCCTACACTACATGTGTCCTTACAAGACAGGAAGTGAGGACAGAGGCAAGGCAGGAATGACTCCATTATGAAAACAAGAGAGCCTCTAGCCAGAAGAGCACGAAAAAAAAGAAGGTTCTCTATGACAGCCGTTGAAGAGAACCTGTCACCCTTGTCAACCCCGACAACTTGACTTCTAGATTATGGGACTATTTGAGAACAAAGTTCTGTTGGGCTGAGTTGTCTAGACTGTAGTCATTTCTTAGAATACCCATAGAAAAGTAACGCCCTGCCTTAGCGAAAATACCTTTTCCTCCAGTGTTCTGCTCTTGGATAGAAATCTTAAAGGTACAGGCTACTGACTGGCTCGCTAATGGACTGGGAAGGAAGCCTGCCTTTCTCTCCATTTGGTCCCCAGGGCA